ATGTTTTTCCAACAGGCCTGTCACGAACCCAACATCTCCCCACGTAATGGAACCTCGGCAAGTATCCGAAAAAGCCATTGGCAGAAAGACTGGCGCAGCAATTTCACCCAACTGTCTCAGGTCAAAATAGGACGCAGAAAGTCAGGCTGACATATGGTGTGCCAAAATTGGAGCATGACAATAGCAGTGAGTGACAAATACACGAGGTTGATGAATGGAGGTACATCACAGAGCCCTATGACATGTAAAACGTCGAGATTTTCGACGTCGCCTGTCTAGCTGCCTCCCAAAACTGACACGGCAGCGGGGCACACATTTTGAAAGTTATCTTGGCTACGCCTGAGATGGTGTCTATGGCAACCCACCTGTGGCATGACAAAAGAAAACGTGGGACACCTTATTTAGGTTCATGACAATACGTTTAAGCAGCACATATATTAAGTACAGATGAGCCAGGTTCCTTTGTTTCTACTTCAAAACAGCCTACCGTGCAAACATCTGTATAAAAAACACTAGCAAGCCGGCACTATTTATACCAGTCAAACCAAGCAAAACGAGCTTCCATTGCGACACCAAATACAATGCTGCTGCACCAGCCCTCAAGCGCTCTACTCTGAGTTGGCGGAACTGCATCATGAACATTAAATTACAAATTGGGATATCAGAGCAGGGCCTGGAAGTTGAAGCTAAATGAAATATTAGATCCGGAATTTGAACAGTGAAATGTAGACTTTTCGGAATGCTTTGCCATGTCTTGGTGGCGGTGCTGTCTTCTAATATCAAGAGTACATGAAATTTGAGGCCATTACCGAACATACCCTTTTTATTCCCGACGTCTTAGTTTATCAACTGCAGCTAGCGGTTTGGAATGATCGGCCCCAGAAGAAGAGGGGTGATGTATGCCTTTTGGCAATTTTCTACAGGCCACCCAATTCCTCTGCAGCTAGTTGTGACATTCCGTTAAACACTATCTAATGTGTTGTTTCAAAAAGTAGTCAGATTAAATTACAATGCGTTACTTCAGCGGTTTAATAGTATCAATGTTCCCCAGTAGGACTTTTCAAATCCAAACTCCAGGGGTATGTGGACATCGCCGATTTGTATAACCAAGCGATTCAACCAAGCAGACGTCGCAGTTCGAACAAGCCATCATTTCTGGCATTTAATTTGACGAATAAAGAATTGACGATTGAGCTAGTTTCGTACGACTACCACTAGGTAGTAGCGATCACTCAGTTCTAACAATTGGCCGTTTGTTAGGCAACTATTGTTGCAGGGAAACATCAACCGAGCAAACCGGAAATAACATTCCCAAAACATGAAGAAGGTGTGTTTATGACAAACTCATGTTGATTCCAGGTGTTGCGAATGCAAGGCAAATTTGCTCGATGTGAACTCCGTGGACTGATCGTAAGGGCGGATGCTCAGGTGCAGGAGAAGGTACTATTGCACGCGGAATAGAAGCATGATACGTACGCTCCCATACGATTTCCTAATCCAGGCCAATAAGGCGTCGTATGTGGCACGTTTGCTTGCATGCTGAGTAATCTTGCATTTCAGAAGTAACTATTGTTTGAGCTCCCCGGTGTGGATGCACTTGATGTGAATGTTGACAAGGTGCCTACCTGTCTATTACCCACTACCTCGTCCATTCTGGCTCCAGGAGACAGTTGGTCGTCGCTGGAGGGGACGGAGTGCACCGTCCTCGTGACGGTGCTAGACTTAATGTGTGGTTCCATTTTGTGTGGAACGGGCTACGGTCCAGCCACCGCCTCGTGTACGTCTGGTGTGTATGATTTCCCAATTAGGCCGGAATGCTTCCGTTCTGCTTGTTGAAGGAGTGTGGGCCGGCTCCGTTGATGAAACGTGGCTCCCATTCACATGCCTCCCGGTCTCATTCCTTCGGGTTTACACCGGATATGGGGTGTGTGGGTGGAACTATGGGTGGTGCAGCGCTATCCACCCATGGTCCCCTTTGTAGGCGCAGGCGTCCTGTGACTGTCCCCATGGACGTCACAGTGACAGGCAAATCCGGATACGGACGCCGCCAAATCGTAGTTGATAAAGAACGAAAATCGATAAACTATTATTGACCATTCGAAGCTTCACCACCTAACAACAACCGCTGACCGGGACCTCTAGCTGTACAGTACGACGAACGACGCATGGAGTGAGTTAAAATCTAACATTAACTGCGTCGTGCAAGCTTCCTCAAACGTTGTACCATTACGAGCATGGCACTAGAACAAGCCCTGGATCCGGAGCAGAACGTGTAAATGGATCGATAGACGAGACGAGATTTGATAGCAGCGTGCGCTAGAAACATGTGATACCACATGGGAGAATTCCAAAACAACTAGAAAATACTGCATGTCCTTTATTAGAGTTGACAAGTATGAGTGGTAGGAGACAATGGTACCTAGGTTTACGGACAACACCAAAATGCTTTACAGGTAGGTGAATGACAACAGGGGCCCAATGACTACTGTTGTAAATACGGCGAACGTACTACTACTGCAGTTTGGTTCAGTGGCTACAAATATCAGGAACCTTCGCCATATCATCTTCCTGCAAACGCCATTTAGTTATCTCGCGTCACATTTACCCCAGCAGCTGTCGCAAGCAAATTACGGTCTCGCCGAAAATACAGTGCCCCGAGAATCGGCAATGGCTGCCAACGGTTCTTAAAACCCTTGTCCATATCGTGGTAGTACATCTTGCAGACATTTTACATTGTCTGACTGATTCTCAAACAATTCCATCTAAATAGATACATGGAACCATCACGCCGAGATACTAAGTGGGTAAGCGATCGGATCCTGCCAACTACTCTTCTGTTATTTTCCTTCCTGTTCTATTAAAATTTTTGGAGTCGGTGGTCGCCGATGATCTGACGCAGTAGTTTGAAAGTTTGCAAATCATTTCCAATCTCCAACATTGTCTCAGACGCAGATGATCTTTTCTTACCGTTCTGCTTCGTGCGCGGGACTCTTGGATCAGAGCGGCTGACGAAAGCTTCCCGTAGATGTGCTAAACAAAGTTTTCTAAGGCATCCGACGAAATCAATCCCTTTGTTCTCCTCAGAAACCTGGTGTCTACCGTATTAACGGTTTCTTGTTCATCTGGTTGTAAGATTACTTGTACAACAGAATAATCGATGAAATAACCGCTGTGAGGTGCTCCGAAAGGATGTGTATCCAGCGATGTACCGCAAGGACCCGTCCTCGCTCCGCTGTTGTTTAATATACCAATGACTTTCCAGCAACTATTTGCAGATGTTTCAAAGATATAGAGATCTATTCGCTCAATATTCGACCGTGTCTATCTCGAGGACTAAGTAAATCTGATTTACAAATGGGCGGAAGCAAACCAGAACCTAATGAACCCGGCAAAGTGCCACCTCCTGACGCTGCGCAGCAGGTTTACCAACACATATCTTTTGGGTAGCACATTCAACAACACGTGACTAGTGTAACAGACTTGGGTATCATCGTCCAAGTAAGCCTGCGCAATTCGCTCCACTGTTCGATGTCAGCACATGTGGCGAATTTGAACTTAAGGTTTTTCAGGCGAGCTCTCGGCGCCGTTGAGGTACGGCGAGTACTACCTGATTAACTACTATATTCGTCCCCGGTTTGAATCTGTGGTACAGGTCTGGCATCTATAATTAAAAGGAGAAATTTCTCTCTTGGAGCAGCCCAAAGAAGAGCTACCAAGGGAACACGTGAACCATTTGGAATAAATTATGAGATGAGACTTCATTTAATCTATATATTCTCCTCACGAACCCGAAGGTTTCGCGGACATCTCATACTCACATAACGGATACCAAACAGAAAGCGATCGAATCACTGCTTAACCAAGCGCCTTAAAAGAATGCCAAGGTCACAAACTGAAACTACTCCTGTTTGGGTTGTAGAAGTATTTTTATTCTCTTAGAATCTGCCCTCGCTGCAATGCACTACCTACCCATATGGTGAAGGCACCAGACATCGCGAAATTCGAAGATTACTAGGCTGTTATCTAAGACTTCGATTCTATCTGATTAACGCTACACAACAATGCAATAAAGTGTGATGCCTATAATGATACTTCACGTTCCCTGCAAGAAAAGTTTGATTTTGCTGTTGCCATCCCGGGTTTTTCCTAAATATACTGCACATTATCCCAAGCTACACTAATAACCATACACTATCAATAAGCAATGCACAATGAAACAATTCACCCGGGTTTATGCATTAAGGTTGTGACTTCAAATTTTGGGCTTTCACACCTGAACTACTATTCCCCTGCTTTAGTGTATCGTGGTGAAGAAGTTGGGGGAGACCATTTAGAGCGTCAATAGTACTTCATTCTAATCGAATTAATGTTGGATTTTTATAGGCTATTATTTTATGGATTGCACGCCTGTTCGGACCATAAGGAACATGAATCGTCGCCAGATGTCAAGGCCATGGAAACCGGGAGAGCTTGGTGACCGCTAATGATCGCAGCTAGCAATCCTTTCATCTCTAACCGATCTCGGTGTTTAAGCGCTCTGTTACCCCACGATTTTCGCGTGAAATAGCTCTAGGCGTACCTATATTAGGTATACTTCTGGGCTGTAATGAGAAGCGCTGTTCGCGGATTCAGCTTATTAAGTTCTTTATGCTTTGTCAAGCAATGCTTTCCATAAGGCGGTGCTTTGTTTTATGGACTGTATTCATCATACATGGCTGCAACAATGTATACAATGTTACTGCTACATTAATGTTCCTACGGGCTCTGGGAAAGCTCATTGTTTACCTACCGTTGGCGACTTGCGGATCTCATTATGGGGTTCAGCTCGTTTCGAGCATTACGGAACACTGGTAGATAAAACGCTGTAGAGCTATTGTTGTCCATGTATGTAACTACTTTCAGTGGCTAAGTTATTTTAAAACGAACAGTATGGGTGCTCAAGTTTAGATGGGTTGTCAGCAACAGTAAAGAAAAGAAGCCAGTGGAAAATCGGGACTCACCGACGACTGTCGCAAATACGAAAAGTCCGATGAGGTAAGAGCAACACATGAATAGAAACCTGCGGTAAAAAGAAAAGCTGCCACGTTAGTACAGTTTTAAATAACTCCTAGAGCACACATAAATGTATTTATACACGTCTTTGTTTTACTGAGCTCAATACGGACTGAAAGCAATAGTCCGAAGTCATTATTAGGTCTTTGAACACTCGTTGCCTGTGTGCTGTTTTCCAATCACCATGAAGCTTCAATATACTACTAAATCCCAGTAAATTGCATCAGAAAACATTAGTGAAGCATGAGTTTTTTTAGGGACTACACTGTCGAAAGGTAGCAAAACCGAGACTCCTTTTCGAGAACAGTTTTCATGCATAAACGACTAGATTCCAGATTATGTGCCCTATCTACTCAGTTATTTACTGACGCGTAGACAACTACGTGTATCTGGTTTGCGACGTGGGTAGAGGAGGTATCGGATGCTGCATTTTAATGCACACAGCTATAAAATGCCCATACCAAAACAACACTAGAGCACATCCTGCAAATCTACCATTGAACATTTAGGTTTTTCGTAGACTTCGTTGTAAGCAAAACCTTTCTTTTAGCTTTTATTTATCTCAAGTCCATAGCCAACTTTACTGCATGAACTTTTTCTCGTTAAACAGCGACAGGTTTCTCGCTTGCCACAGTTTAATGCGTGAATTAACAGAATCGAAACTATTCTCTTGTGATGGTGCACAATGTTAACTATGTACCAACCTGCCTATCTGAGAGTTCACGTAACCCGTACATAATTACAGAAGGCTGCGGACCATCTTGAAGTAGATCGAATGAATCCTAATTTTTGCATTCAGCATCATACCCTACAGCAGCTCCCTGACGGCTGTTTATGAAGCATGAAGTTAGGTGCTAACTCTACAGTACCTCTACCAATTGTATGATTCAAACCTTTAGAGCTCCTCGTAATCCCATGTCTATACTGAGTGCGGTACGAATAAGCTGAGAATTAAAATAGGGCTGTTTCATGACAAAATAAAACTTTTTCGGTTTATACTCAAGATCGATGCAGAAGTGTTAATAACCTCTCGAAGTCAATCAAACAAAAGGCGTCAGAGGTGAAGGCTATACGCAACATGGAATAACCGCTTTGACGTGATTGTTTGTGTGTTACATTATATATAAATATATATGGTATATTATTACCCAGACACAATTGTCCTTTAAAAGAAAAGTAGATTGTGTGCTACATTTAGGCTGCCATTGCAAATTCCAACAAATTCCAACAACCTAAATCTTTTAAGTCCATGCGCATCCTTGCGCGCCTCCATCCACCTAATGTTTAGCTTTGTCCCGTTGCTGTTGTTAGGCCAGTCAGTAATCAGCATAGGTAATCAACATGGATCAAAAGACCTTTTCAGCTTGAAGTAGTTGTCTTTAGTTGTATAAAAGTTCATGCGTGTACCCGGTAACACCAGCCAAAATCAATACATAAAGTCACGAGCAAACTGGTGGCTTTCTAAACGAAACGAAGGCTGATTTAAATGTATATCATCTACTGCATCGGTCGCACTTTCTGCAGTGTCTGCAGCGGCCAAAATATCAAATCGCAGATTGAACCAATCAGTTTTGAATGTTTTAACATTCACAGGTATGCATTAGTATATGTCTAACGTGTCCCGTAACATTGAACTTATCTACTACCAATCTTTCAGAAGATGGGTAATCGTCTGAACCGATTCAATAAATCAAAACCTTGTAGAAGATTGTACAATTATTACGTATATTAGTCCATCATATGAAATAAGAAGTGAAGCAAATTTAGCTAGTTTTTCGGGACCAAAGATGCAAATAGACCAGTTACACTCACTCAATGTCAGTCACAGGATCTTCTGAGACACCGATTGTGGTGAGAGCAAGCGTAGACCAATAGAATGTCTTCAGGTATGTCCTGGGAGTGGTTTCGTTAACATCGGCATCAGGTTGATAGCCCCAGGTAGTTGAAAATTTCTGATGCGTTGAAATAATATAGTAAGTACATCCAAACCAGTGACACCCGAGGAAAAGCACATGAATCAGGTTTATCACACGCCACAAATTTGGCATTGATGATCGATTTTCCACCTTTGTCTTCCATTGTCGTGCACGATACATTTTGACTAAGCGAGTAAATCTAAGCATAGGTTGTATGCCCACTTTTAGCTGAATCAAATCCAATGGAATAATGGAGATAATATCTAAGCGGAAGTGAGTTGAAAGCAGGTAGTGCTTTGCCAAACTTATTCGATTTTGCACAACTAAACCCCGTTTCAGGTAAGTGGTGTTGAACTGGACCCCTATATCCGCCAGATAAATCAAGTCCGCACACACATCCAACCCAACCCACAAGAAAAATAATCTGCCGTTGAGGTCGTAGAAGGCTTGTCTGGCTATGGGAATCCAGAAATTATATAGCACCGCCGTGGACAAAATGGTCAACCAGATGAGGAGTGAACGGCTATTCGGTTGAAACAGATGCGGTGGTAGGCATATATTGTCTTCCTTTAGTCTGTTTGTCTTTTCCTCAAAGTTTCTGAATGCGTTAGACTCGCGTTGTTCTTTCCATGCCATGAAATTTGATTGTAATGTGGGCACCGTATTCACTGAATGATTTTTCCCATTGCACCTATCAGTTGTTAATGACTCCAAACCCGGAGGGGTGCTTGGCTTTTTCGAATCGACTGGATGCTCGGTTTCATATAATTCCGAATGACTTGTACTGCTTTTTACTGATTGTGTGTCATTTTCATAGGGATTCAAACTGTGGAACCCTTTTGAATCTTGACCTGTTCCGGCCGAAATCGCCCTCCATCTTATGGGCTCCGACGTTTCCGATACACATCCATCCAGATCAGCGTGTGGAACAAAGCATAACTCATCACGGCCTAATGGAGACAATGACTTTGCAATCATCATGTAACTCTGCGGCTTGGTAGTACGAATGGAATGGATTCCATTTGCCGTGAGATTTACTCGTCCAGTATATTTATTGGGTTTGTCCGTTAGAAGGCCACGCACCTCGTGTGAGTATCTAATAGGGGTTCCGGGTTCAGTATCGATTCGGTGTTTCATATTCCGCTGCATGGTCTAATGATTGTCACCTCATGCGGGGTCGCTCATGTGTTTGTCTATCTCTAGGCTCGTGGTCAATGGAGTGGATGGACCGACTAATCGTGTTGTGGTGCAAACCATAGCGTGTGGCCTGCACCATTCCTATTGCACCATTGGGCCACAGTCTACATTGTGCTGATTGGCAGTCCTACTCAATTAACTTGTGATGAGACCGAAGTCGTAAATGTCTTGTTGACAGTATAATTGACGAAATTTTGCTCTCAGTTTCCCACTAAGTCCACCATTAGTTTCTCCTGTTGCGCTTACTGCTTAGATTAGGGGGGAAGCTCTTGAAACACACTTCAATAAAAAAGAGTCGACATATTTTTAAACAATCCTTTAAGTAGTGTCAGTTCTCGCTTTCAGAAAGGCTTTGTGACTGAGTGGCTAAATAGTTTACCGCCAAAGACTTCTCTGCATTACCTTGGTTCTCATTGATTGACAAGACTACAATATATTTTAAACTACTTTCACTATGTCGTCTGCAAGTAAGTAGCATGTACTTTGTCATAAAAGTCATGCGAGTTTATTCAGATTATTTACATGGTATTCAGTTTGGGATAACAAAACCTGCTAACTGATTTCTATCTTCGGATGCGGCTACCTAGGGTACATTGTCTTTGGATAATTTACTCATTGGACACTATAAGGTTTCGATCAGTTTTCGTATATTTGCATTTTTTGGATAGCCTGTAATGTGAACGAGTCTGTTGAGCCAGATATTGTTTTGTGTTAGCTTGCATCTGCCCATCAAACCTGAAGAAAGACAGATGGTTATCCAGTATACATAAAAAATATCCCACCAGTCTCGTGGATCTGCATTGCCACCAAATCGAACTTTTACACTTCGAATTCACACAGGGCGGACGACCTAGGTTGTGACAATGTTAACGAACAACGTTTACTAACAGACGATTCGGCAATGTACACGTTGCAGTGGAGGAAGTCAGCACTGTCCGCAGCTTTTTGGAGGTACACATAACTAACTAAATAAATTAACGCTATATCCTTTGACTGCTAGACAGAGTCCAACTGAGTCGTCCGATCGATGGGCACACCCAGAACACATAAGTAGTAAATATTTCGGGTTTTTCACAGTGGTTCCTAAACAGATTTTCGGATTGACTGACAAATTGAATGTATTAGAATATTTGAGAAATTCGGAACAATAGCCAAATATCTCAGTGAAATAATACGGACATCCGTGGAACTCTCTAGTGAACCTGCCTTCATGAAGCTAATTCCTTCTATGCGCCAACTGGCTAGGTGCCGGTTTGACATAATAGCAAATAAGCCGTCACCTCAACACATCTCTATGGACGTTAGTATACATAGATATTATGGGCGATGAAGCCATCCAACTCATTTCATCATTCGGCTCTTTCGTGTGTTGCACTTTTTATTATACGCAAGTGAGTCAATGAAAATACGCCTGGGGCACTTTTACTTATTAGCTTGGAAAATTTAATCCGTCCCCTCAGCAGATCAGCCCAGTCATGGACAACATTGAAATTAGGAAAAAAATACAATATGAGGAATTAAAATTTTAACAACGGTAAGGTTAATAAATAACTAAGTGGCATAGTTCAGATATTCCGAGTAAGATCGATGGATCATCCAATCAAATTGCAGGGTGGAACAGCTAAAGAAAGATAACGGCAAGGAAGTAACAAAAGTTGTGAGCACTCAGCATTATTTTTATGCATTCGAACCGCACAACAATCGATATCAGTGAGCATAGAAACTTGCCAGATTTTCCTGAGCTTTTGCCTCCGGAAAACAAGATGAAGTGGTTAGGATTGCAAAAGAAATCCAAAGCAGAAAACCGTCTAACAATTATTACGCATTGTTCAGCGTAAGGGGCGGGGTTACGCAATTAATCCTTGCTTTCATAACGTGTTATTGTTGTTCTTTATTTCAAATTAATAAATAATTAGTAGCAAGCAAATCTGGGTTCAGTAAATGTGCACGGGAACTTGAGTAAAAGAGTGGAACATGAAGTTGGTTGAAACAGCACGACGCTGCAGATCCAACCTGCGCTGTTTCACTCATTGCAACACGTAGACATTACAGAATGTATACGTTTCATTTGTGGTCAGGTCTTTCTTCAAACAGATTTTTATCGTTATTTTGAACATTTATAGCGCTCCAAACTTTCTCTCTCTTGACAGATAAAACAAACGATTCACTTGTACCTACAGAAATACTCAGTATGCTTGCTCGCTACATGTAGCTTACTCCATAAGATGCCGTATCTGAGAAGGGAAAAATTTTGCCTCGGTCTAATCTCGAAGCTTGGCAATGTGACAACTACGGCCTCTCATGTACCACATTTGGTTTCTGTTCCAAATTACAGTGTGTGCTATTTCCATTGTAGGCTTCTGGCCACACTAGTTTATGGGGGGGTGGGGTGGAAAGACACATTTAAGTGCAGCTGTATCAATCATAAACGTTCGATGTTCAAACTGGTGCACCTGACTCTGCATGAAAGTACCGTTGAATAGTCAATAATATTGCTACCATACTGTCCACAGACGTTATGAACACAGCACGCTTCGCATACTGAATCATCAAATTTTTGCTAGAATGAAATCCCTACAAGTAAATTTGGTGAATGAAATAAATTTGACACACAGTTAAACATGCCGACTAACTCGTTCTCTACCAATTGGCTATCCCTAAGTAAGCGGTAAATACGACCTACTAGCACTCGTGTAGACCCTAGTGATAGGACCTACCAAGCAGAGTTAATAAAGAGACATGTAAGTGAAAATGAAAAGTCCGAAACAATCTCTTTGTGGAGTAATATATATTGCAATCACCACCTACCTATTTTGCGACCAATTCTTATAAACTTGTAAAAATCAATGGAAAGCAGCTAGTTTGACATTTAGTTTCGGTGCCAATTTTCCGCCAGTAAAATTTGATCACGTTTAACTAGGGTTCTGAACGTGAGAAGTAAACAGAGCCTGCGCATCATTAGGCGAATATTAAGAACCCTTTGTCGAAATAAATTCGGCAGTTATTTAATAAAGCGTAAAAGATTTGTAAGTTCAGTCATATGATTTCCAGATCCTTCCGCAACTGCTCCTTCCCAGTGGTATTCCCTAGTTGTTTTGGGATTAGAGGAGGACGCGAAATACTTAGAGGAATACAGAAAAAATACTGCGGTATTTTGGAATGGTTCGATTTATACGGATGAGGTGTCATCGTCGAAACGATCGCAGATGGTAGAGTAGGAGAAGAAGTAAAAGATTAGGTGTTTCTTATCGTCGAGTAGTTTGTGCTCCAAAAAGGCATTTTAAGACGTACCAGAAGGAGCGCTTGGCTTAGTCACAGGAACACTATATTTTGCCTCCTTACCAATTTATGAAACAGCTGTATTTCCCATCATCGTCTTTCGATGACGTAAATTAGGCTTTCCAGTAAAAGAGGTCTATGTCAAGCCTAGCACCGTTATGGCGTGTGCTATATCTGTCACTACTAATTATTATATTGGTGGACCACATTACATCGTCACTCGCTCCCTACGAACCAAATGATGAGTGTTTCGTTGAGAACGCTGGTCCGTTTGAGATTTTTAGGTGTTTACCGGTTTTGCGCGCAGAATGAGTGGAGTTATCAGCTCGTAATACTCTGTTAGAACGTGGCGCATTGTATGAAGCTGTCTTACACTCTATATGCACACAACAATTGGCACCTTGCGAAAACGGGAAAAACTAGGCCAGATGAAGCTTTTGTGGCAAAGCTAAAGTTTGCACACAAACTACCAACCGGTTGTCTACAAATCTTTCTGAATTCATGAGTTCTCGATCAGTTCCAAGTATTTCCCAAGACTGGGCAAATAAGCTTCCATGACGCTCGCACCTTCTTCCGCATTTATAGGGTTAAGAGTAAATTCTTCAACCGCTAATAGGTTACGTTCACCTGCTTCAATAGGGTTGCAGATACAAGCTGTTCTAAATGGTCCCCTGATTGTCCGTTTACAAAAATGCAAGGGGAAGAGTTCTCTTAAGTTTAGCTAGAGTGTATCTAGACACAATGTGAAGTAGTTCTCATTACATTTATGTTCTGCTTTCAGATATAATGACAATACTAAATTCCGGAGTGTGCTCCAAAGTATTTCGACTATGGATAAACAAAATTTTAAGACGTCCGCGGTTGTCATAGAAACCGTAAACAAGTCCCTAGTCTTTTACAACTGATTTCGCTCATATCCATATCACAGGTCACGGAAATTGTATACTTAATGTTGCCAATGGGGACGTCCGCTATGTTGAGTGCAACGGGATTTTTCGCTTTTGCTTCTATAAGCAAACTTAGGGGTTACAGAATTTATGAAGTTCAGTTCCCCATTTTGTGTTTGTAACTCTGAATTTATCCGAGCCTGAACCTAATATGACACGGATTCGAGGACACCTACCAATAAACCTAATCGCGCGTTCCCCATTTTGTTGAGTCAACAATTCATCAAACGTTTTTATGTGGTCTGCCATGGAGATTTGAAGTCGGTAATGCTAATCAAACTCTTCAGATTTTCAGGTGCATTAATTTTTTGTGTAACAAATGAGGACACGGTATCAGTATGCGCAAAACACGGCGTACCGTTTTGTATGTTTACCTGGTTTCTAGCACATGTTTTCGCAATGTACGTGTATTTATGGTAGTTATTGGGTAGATTTTCTTATTCCTATGAACTAAGTAACCTATGGTAGAAATAACGAGCACAAAGCGCCATCTAGTAGATAAAGCAACCCTATTTCTTTTCAAAGGAAACAATGACGATCAGTAGGTCTGGTTTGACAGCTATGGAACCAGAAACGTTTGCGTCAAATGCAGATACCAGCCCAACGGTCTGAAGCCGACAGAAAATCTCTTGATAATGCATGCAACGGCTGCGTGTAATCTTTTGCAAGCCAATCGCAGGTGGTCGTTACATTTGAAGCAAACTGAGCTGTAGCTTTCTTATAACC